AGTTTGATAGTCTTAAATGACGTTATTGGCAGAGAGCAGAGGCAGAATCATTGCTACAGACACCAATTCGATTCTGGACTCTTGCATCTGGGAGTAAATGGAGTATCCAAAAACATGTTCTGTGGACCATCCCCAATTTTTGGGCACAATTTGCGTAACAGGTGCAGCTAGACTGCAAGTCTCGTGGGCAAACATCGCAAAGGTTCAACATCTGTGATGCGCCATTTGAAACCTCATTTCATCCACCCGCTCTTCTTGGGCAAGGTGGACAATATGAGCGCGTCCTCAACCACAACTCGCTTCCGTTCTCCCTTCTTTGAGCTCTCACACCATATCTTCAACGTAGCACTTCGAGAACACTGTATCACGCGTAAGTTGAGCCAGCACACAGAGAATTCGAGTTGCGAATTTTACGTGTCACCAAGTCATTTGGAAATTCCGCCTCGATTTGGTCACTATGAATTCTTTTATGTTTTAAGTGTTCCTTCTGCGGCACTGTAAATTGGGGTATACCGTAGCTAGGTGTGCTAGCTTCAAAACAAAAGCAAGCAGAATGCTCTAGCTCTTTTACTTTTCCCACCATTTCTCTAGATGTCTCCACATGTTTGAATGAGATGATCCAATATTATCTGGGAACTAAATAAGTGGTATTTAATGGGACTTTTTACCCGTTGAGCTGTCATTCTTTTTCAATGAAGGCTTTTCTATGAGAACAGATATCCGCTCCGTTGCTGCTAATGTAACGTTTTCTGGAGTCTTCTTTAGTAAAAGTTCTTGTTTAGTTGTCTCGATCGAGCAACGGCGACGTTAGTAAGCAGCTGCGAGCGTCGGTGGCGACGACGACATGCGCTGCAGTGAATCGTAAAGGCGGGCGAGGTGCTCGGGACAGCACGAAGGCGAAGGAAAAGGTCATTATCGCGAATGCGGTGGAAAGAGAAAAAGTGCGTGTGAGAAGTTCATCTTCCTTCTTTTCCTTTCATATTCGTTTCTGTTTTGCCTCCACTTACTTTTTTATTGGGCTAATTTTGTTGCCAATATTATAGCCGAACGGCCTCGCGATATCGAACGGCAAGACGGCGAATGGCACGACGTACGAGACTGTGAGAGACTCTAGCTTACCGAAAGAGAATGGGCATGACGCTAGCAGGTTGGCTTGTCTTTTCATTTATTCGATTCTGTAACTGTTTCCCACCGTTTCCGAAGGCTTTCATTATCTCTTCCCTTTTGAGTAGATGTGATGAATGCTTTTTTTTTCGATGGACATCAATCACACCTATTGTTTGATATTTGGTCCCAAACATCGCATCAGTTTGGGGAACGAATCTCAATTACAATCGCATGTGATTTACGCCTATAACAAAAATTCGTCGATATTATCAAAGGCTGCATTATTCGAACCGTGAGCGCACCCCAATGGGAAGCAATAAAACGTGCTTTTTTATATTCCCTTGTGGCAGAAGGATTGATCCGTATTCCAGTATTCTTGTGATCACTTCTGCATAGCGAACTGTGGCAAAACGGCTGATAACAATCAGTAGCGAAAATTCAATATCTGCTAATAGTTACTCTTTGCATCGCGGTTCAGTACAGTGTCGGTTTACCGGCTCATTACGTCAGCTGTCGTCGTACGAGCGCTGATAAGCCATGGTAAGTACACCATCAGAAAGGAAGCGGTGATGAATTTAGTTGGTAGAGCTTCTCTTGGAAAACGAGCGGTGCATGTTCGATTCACGCGCACTACAATATAGGTGACCTTGTTTCGACCATCTTTAGAACAGTTTTTGAAACGACGCACACTTCCTCTTTTCCTTCCAATGTGGAAATACCTTTTTTTTAGCTTACAGTGGAACTGGGAACTGGTTGTTAACTAAACCGTCTTATGAAGTGTATCACATCCGTAGCCGTGTGTTTAGCGCTAGGTTTATTCCGGAAACCATCGACTGTCTGATCGCACTTCACCCATAGCAATTTCAAAGAATGCGATATCGTATCTAGCATCGGTATCTTTGTTCCCAAGATTACAATATCATGGAAATCTTTTCAGTGTTTCATCATTGGAAACCGAAAGGCTGAAAGCTGAAGTGATGCAGCTCAAGACTGCTGAGGCTGATGCTAGGATACAACTTTCTGTTAGCCAGAACAACGAGAAGCATGCAAGGCAAGAAGCTGTACAATTGCGATCGAGACTTGAGCAGATGGAAGCTAGGTGAGGAATCTTCGCTTTTTTATTCTTGCAAGGAAAGTATTTCAACACATGGAGCGCTTTTTCAAAACGGTTTGTTGTATGTTG